TAATATATTTGCCAATGAAAGCATTTGGCCATTGGATCAAGAGTATATACTATTTGAAAAGTATTGGTAAGGTACTTTTCTTTGAAAAATAAGGACTTTTAGCTGGGGTCGGTGGCTCAGCCTGTAATCCCCCACCTTTGTCAGACTGAGGTGAGTGGATTGCCTTAGCCCATGGGTTCAAGACCTGCCTGGGCAGCGTGACCTCATCTCTACAATAAATCCAAAAATCAGCCAGGTGTGGTAGTGCACACCTGTAATTCTGGCTGATCGGAAGGCTGAGGCAGACGAATCATTGGAGCTCAGCAGGTCGAGGCTGGGTTGGCCAGGAGCGGCCACTGCACTCCAGTCTGGGTGACAGAGTGAAACTCCAATTCAAAAAAAAAAAAAGAAAACTAAGGACTTTGTTAAAGTCCTTTGGTCTTTGTTCCTTTAGCCATATATTTTTGGGCTCAGAAAACAATAAGCTAAAAGGAAGGCCTCAGAAACAAAAATTTTCTTTGATCTTCTCCAGCCTTCCTGTCTCTCCCATTCACCCCAGAGGCTTGCCATAGAAACTAGAATCCCTCTTCCCCAAGGCTGGTCATAGAAACCAGAACTCCTTTTCCCCAAAGCCAGCTGTTAGGTTAAAATATATCCCAGGGGGGCATCCAAAATTTTAGGTCAGTCCTGTCAAGGTGGGGGTTGTGTGATCCGGTGCTGTGCGAAAGATGCAAAGAATTGCACAGAAATTAAATTGAAAAATATAGCTTAAGCCATGCTCGGTGTCTCAGCCTGTAATCCTGCACCTTTGGGAGGCTGAGGTGAGTGGATTGCCTGAGCTCGCGGGTTCGAGACCCGCTTGGGCAGCGAGACCTCATCTCTACAATAAATCAAAAAATCAGCCGGGCATGGTAGCGCATGCCTGTAATTCCGGCTACTTGAAAGGTTGAGAAGGAAGGATCGCCAGAGCCCAGCAGGTTGAGGCTGCGGTGGCCGTAAGTGGCCACTGCACTCCAGTCTGGGCGACAGAGTCAGACTCCAACTCAAAAAAAAAAAAAAACAGTAATGAAAAATCTGAAGTCAAATGTTGTGGCTCATGCCTGAAATCCCAGTGCTTTGGGAGGCCAGGGTAGGAGGATTGCTTGAGACCAGGAGTTCAAAACCACGCTGGGCAACATAACAAGACCCTGTCACTACAAAAATAAAAATTAAACAATTAGCTGAGTGTGGTGGCATGCACCTGTAGTTACAGCTATATGGAAGTTGAGGGGAGGGGATCACTTGAGCCTAGGAGTTCGAGGCTGTGGTGAGCCAAGATTGTGTCACTATACCCCAGTCTGGGCAAGATAGCAAACCCTATCCCTAAAATAAAATTTTTTTGAAATATTGCACGCATTATCAAAATGTGACACAGAGACAAAGTGAGCACATGCTTTTGAAAATGGTGCCGAAGACTCACTCATCTCAGGGTTGCCACCAACCTTCAATTTGTAAAAAACACAATAAAGTGAAGCACAATAAAACAAGGTATTCCTGTATTTGAAAGCTTAACTATTTAAGCACTTTGTATGGATTATTATTATTTTTTTTGAGTTGGGAGTCTCACTGTCACCCAGACTGAAGTACAGTGGCCGCTCCCGGCCACCACAGCCTCGACCTGCTGGGCTCCGGTGATCCTTCTGCCTCAGCCTTCCAAGTTGCTGGAACTACAGGTGCACACTACTATGCCCGGCTAATTTTTTTGCTTTATTGTAGAGATGAGGTCTCACCAAGTTGCCCAGGCAGGTCTCAAACCTGCGGGCTCAGGCAATCCACTTACCTCAGCCTCCCAAAGCACTGGGATTACAGGCTGAGTCACCGAGCCTGGCTTGTATGGATTATTAAATAACAACAGCCCAATGAAGTAGTAGTAGTAGTAGTTGTTGTTATTATTATTATTTTGAGTGCAGTTGCATTCTCACAGCCACTGAAGCCTCGACCTCCTGGGCTTATGCAATCCCTCTGCCTCAGCTTCCCAAGTAGCTGGAAATTCAGGCCTATGCCACCATGCCTGGCTAATTTTTTTATTTACTGTAGAGATGAGGTCTCGAACCCCTGGGCTCAGGCAATCCTCTTGCCTCCACCTCCCAAAGTGCTGGGATTACAAGCATGAGCCACCATGCCCAGCCAGTAGTTACTATTATTATACCCACTACCTACATAGACAAGGCAATGGAGGTTAATAACTTACCCAGAATAGTAACTGGTAGAGCCTGGGATTGATATCTACTGAAGAGAGGCATCTTTGAGGACAAGATCTTAGTCCGTTTGCGTTGTTATAAAGCAATATGAGGCTGGGTTATAGAGAAAAGAGGTTTATTTGGCCCATGGTTCTTCAGACCATCCAAGAAGTATGGTGCCAGCATCTGCTTTGGTAAGAGCTTCAGACTGCCTCCACTTGTGGCGGAGGAAAGCAAGAGAGAGGAGAGAGGTGCCAGGCTCCTTTCAACAACCAGCTCTCAGGGGAACTCTCCCAGGAACTCACAGAGAGAGGACAGCACCAAGCCATTCATGAGGAGTCTATTCCCCCAACCCAAACACCTTCAACACTGGGGTTCACATTTCAGTGTGAGACTTGGAGGGGATACTGTCAAAACATAGCAATACCTTTACATCTCTTAGTGTTCCTTAGTACAACTATCTTTGGGATAAATTGATTTCTAAGCATTGCTTTCATTTTATGAATTCTGTAAATTTTGTGTAACTAATTAGGTTTCTTTCTTCCCATAAGTTACTAGAAAATGCATGATTGAATAAGTGGCTCAGGTAAGGCAAGTGTCTAGGACTTCATAATAAGCACTATTTCTTTTTCTTTTCTTTTCTTTTTTGAGTCAGGGTCTCGCTCTGTTGCCCAAGTTGTAAGGCAGTGCACAATCACTGCTCACCGCAGCCTCGACCTTCTGGGCTCAGGCGACCATTCCACCTCAGCCTCCTGAGTAGCTGGGACTACAGGAGTGTGTCACCTTGCCAGGCTAATTTTTTGTAGAAATGAGGTCTCACTATGTTGCCTAAGCTGGTCTTGAATTCTGGGGCTCAAGTAATCCTCCTTCCTTGGCCTCCCAAAATGCTGGGATTAAAGGTATGAGCCACTGTGCCCAGCAATAAGCATTATTATGTGAGCATCATTTCTGGCTTAATTTTATGGACACCATTTCTCTTTTATTCCCTTTTAATTCATATTGTTTTAACATTTTAAGTGGCTTTATAACAACTTGAAGTTCTTTTTTTTTTATTTTGAGAGACAGGGTCTTACACTGTCACCCAGGCTGCTGTGCAGTGGCATGATCCCAGCTCACTGCAGCCTTGACCATGCTCAGCTAATTTTTGTATTTTTTTTGTAGAGACGAGGTCTTACTACGTTGCCCAGCCTGGTCTTGAACTCCTGAGCTCAAGCAATTCTCCTTTCTTGGTCTCCCTAAGGGCTTGATTACAGATGTAAGCCACTGCAATTCTTTTTCAAATAAAAATCTTGGAGATAGAAGTCTACATACAGTCAATTTGGAGGGGAAAGGGACCAAATATCTTTAGTCAATGTAGGCCATTTCTAGGTTGCTTTACCAGTAAGAAAGAAAGCGAGGTCTAGGGCTGTCCTGCCTTAGTATTTAACACAAAAAGATGCCTGGTCACTGTCCTCATGCATGACTTCTGGGGCTACTCTTTGGTCCTCAATTCTCTCACCCGCCCAGCCATTTTCCTTATAACTTCTTCCTGTAATCTCCCATCCCAAAAGCATCTCTAGAAACTCTAGAATTCACATCATAAAAATATACTACACGGTGAATGACTACACCTGACAGAGTGTAAGAAACCTTTCCTTTCTTTTCTAAGAAACCTTTCTTTTCATTAGTTAAGATCCAATGGGCATTTTCTTGGATAAACTCAAATTGGTGAAAGATTTTTGTATACACCCAGAAAACCATGGGATGTGCTCTGAAATGTCAGGTTTATAAAAACTCTCTTGTGCTCAGGGAAGATCCTCTGCTCTGGTCTCTGAAGACATAGACAAACCAGGCACGGTGGTTCACACTTGTAATCCCAGCACTTTGGGAGGCAGAGGCGAGAGGATTGCCTGAGTCCAAGGGTTCAAGACCAGCCTGGGCAACTTGGTGAGACCTCATCTTTATGATAAAAAAAAAAAAAAAGCTAGGCTTGGTGGCACATACCTGTGGTTCCAGCTACTTGGAAGGCTGAGGTAGAAGGATCACCTGTGCCCAGCAGGTTGAGGCTGCAGTGGCTGTGAGCAGCATGCCACTGCACTCCAGCCTGGGTGACAGAGTGAGATTCCAACTCAAAAAAAAAAAAAAGAGTTAGTGCTCAGTACACTGCAGTGGGCTGAGGCAGACAGTCCTGGTCCCTCTCAGTAGGAAGGTAAGAGGACAAGATGGTATGGGGAGGGAGTCTGGCTTGACAAGTATAACGTAACATACAAAGATGAAGGCTGTGACCCACAAGGGATAGTCCTGAAAGTCTTGGCATCAAGGCAAGACTGGGAATCTCAACAGATAAGCACAGAGGAAGCATACAAGGAGTTCAATCCTTCCATATTCAGACGGGTTCGAGGACAAGTCTTGAGGAATGTTCAGGAATGTGTACTGGCAAGACTGAGGCAGAATCTTTTCTTTAAGGGACTCGAGCAGGCAGATTCCCAAGGCTCAGGCAGGGTTAGTTAGGGCCCAAAGGGGACATGTGACCCCAGAGCAATACAGAAGCTCATAAGTGGGACACATGGCCAACGCTAGGCCAGCAACTGAGAGCTGGAAGCACTTCTCTCTCTGCTCTGGTTTAAGGTTAAGATTGGTCCTACAGATAAGATCAAGGTTAAGACAATAGGTTGGGCAAAGTTCATCTGAGAGAGGGTGTGGGTGGACCTAGCAGTGAAGGCAGATTGCAAAGGCTGAGAATCTAGTAGGACCCACAAGGAAGCTGAGCTGGTTACTTTGTTACAAAATGGTTTCTAACTGCTCTGGAAAACCCAACACAAGTTGTATGGATAGGACTTTTATTAATGGTATCTGGTCCATGGTTGCAATGCTATATTTTGCTGCGCTTGACAGATTTTTTACCATTGAGATGTTTGTGGAAGAAAGTTTGAATTTGCTGCCAGGCATCGACCTGTGCCCTTGAGTGAGCGCTTGGTTCACCTCCATAGATTACTGCTGTGCCCAACACTGCATGTACAGAGGCTCTAGAAGGAGGAAAATAAGGTGGGTCGATACAATGACCAGTTCCTGGGTAGCAGATTATCTGGGGTCTTTCTTTCCCATGGGCTTGTAACCTTTCAGAGGCTATCTGGGCATAGAAGTTACTCCTCCAGCTCCGATCATCTAAGCCAACAATGAACAGGAAGGGCCCCTGTGCCTTTTCCAGTGGAATGAGACTTTGGTGATTCCGTGCCTCCAGCGGATTATCCCAAACATCCATGTAGGAGAGAATGCCCGCCTCAGTGATTTTGTGTCTTCCTGGGTCACTGTGGAGATTAGGAATAACCATATCCTTGTAATGCAGAGGAACTATTGTGTTGGCCACACAGGAATTGATAACCACAGTGGCTGTGATGCCCTTCAAGAAAGATGCCATTGAGAGACACAGGTCACCTCCCTTGGAGAAGCCAAGGAGCCCAATACTAGGGCCTTTTACCTGATAATGAGAGAAAGAAAACCAGCATAGAATTTATAAATGAGGGCATAAACAGAGATATTACATTCTTTAAGTAGCTTTCTAAGCTATCATTTGCTTTTCTTTCTTATGCAACAATCTACAAAGTTCAAGTATGTCTTCCAATAAGCAAATCAATTGATTTCCTAGTACATGAGCCATCCCCTAATACTTATGAGGGCTGGGTCAAGAGGATACACGGAGGCCTACATACCCTATAACTAAATATTTAAAAGTTATAAATCAAATGAACAAACTGTTAAGTAAAATATATTATTTTCTCCTACCATCACAACTTGTAAGGTCAGACTCAAATTTAAAATCTTGGAACTCACTGGAGTTCTGTACTAGAACGTGACAAGGGGGAGAGCCAGCTCCTGGCAAGCTCAGACCTCGGCCCATGTGCCTTCCTTCCATCTGAGCTCCTTTGAGGACCCTGGGGGGCCTGTTATGCATGTGTGAACACTCAAGCCTGCATGTTTAAGATCTAGGTATGTACATACTGATGAACCCAGAGAAGAGGCTTGAAGCACACTCAGAACTACTTGGCAGATAATTCTGATGTTCCAGATCCCCAGGGCAATGAGAAGGGGAAAGGACCCTGCTGAACATCTTATTCCTAAACATTAGAAGGTTTGAGTCTCTTTAACTCTGGATGGTAGCAGAGTATATATCATCCCATTTATAATCACATCAAAATGTTTTAATTAATAAATTTTTCTGTTATCAGATACTTTCTTTACAAAACCATAATACTAGCCAGGCTCGGTGGCTCAGCCTGTAATCCCGCACCTTGGGAGGCTGAGGTGAGTGGATTGCCTGAGCCCGCGGGTTCATGACCTGCCTGGGCAACTTGGTGAGACCTTATCTCTATAATAAATCAAAAAATTAGCCGGGCGTGGTAGCACGCGCCTGTAGTTCCAGCTACTTGGAAGGTTGAGGTGGAAGGATCGCCAGAGCCCAGCAGGTCGAGGCTGCAGAGGCCAGGAGAGGCCACTGCACTCCAGATTGGGTGACAGAGTGAGACTCCAACCCAAAAAACCCCCAAAAAAACCATAATAGCATTATTACACTCAACAAAATAGATTACTTAATATCAAATATGACATTCTGTTCAAATGTTACCAATTGTCTCAAAAAATGTCTTTTCCCTCTACACATTTGCATTAATCTTACAAATACAAAAAATTAAACCCCAGAGAGGGCAATTGCTTTACTCAGGATCATAAGGTCACTTTGTGGCAGATGCAGAGCCAGAACATTTGGTTAATAATTTTTTAAACTGGACTCGGTGGCTCAGCCTGTAATCCCGCGCTTTGGGAGGCTGAGATGAGTGGATTGCCTGAGTCCGCGGATTCGAGACCCGCCTGGGCAACTTGGCGAGACCTCATCTCTACAATAAATCAAAAATTAGCTGGGTGTGGTAGTGCATGCCTGTAGTTCCAGCTACTTGGAAGGCTGAGGCGGAAGCATTGCTGAAGCCCAGCAGGTCGCAGCTGCGGTGGCCGGGAGCAGCCACTGCACTCCAGTCTGGGCAACAGAGTGAGACTCCAACTCAAAAATAATAATACTACTAATAATAATTTTTTAGTCCCGTGCTCTTTGAATGATGGTACACAAGTACAAAAGGAACCGAGTAGTCAAGTCTTAAGGGATTGGAGAGAGATGGGAGGAAATGGAAATAATCATCTTAGTAACTTCTTTTTGAGACAGGGTCTCACTAAGTTTCCCAGGCTGGTCTCGAACTCCTGGATTCAAGCGAGTTCAGCTTCCCAAGTAGCTGGGATTATACCATGACCAACTTCAAACCTAGCAACTTTTGAAGGAGCCATGGTATCTCCTGGCATTCTTCTAGTTCCCAGTGGCTTGGCAGGGATTTTATTTTATTTTATTTTATTATTTTTTGAGTCAGAGTCACTCTGTAGCCCAGGCTGGAGTGCATGGCATGCTCATGGTCACTGCAGCCTCAACCTACTGGGTTTAGGTGATCCTTCCACCTCAGTCTTCCAAATAGCTGGAACTACAGGTGTGCACCACCACACCCAGCTAATTTTTTTTTTTTTGAGTTGGAGTCTCACTCTGTCGCCCAGACTGGAGTGCAGTGGCTGCTCCCAGCCACCGCAGCCTCGACGTGCTGGGCTCCGGCGATCCTTCCGCCTCAGCCTTCCAATTAGCTGGAATTACAGGCATGTGCTACCACGCCCAGGTGATTTTTGATTTATTGTAGAGATAAGGTCTCGCTGCCCAGGCGGGTCTGAAACCCGCGGACTCAGGCAATCCACTCACCTCAGCCTCCCAAAGGCACAGGATTACAGGCTGAGCCACCAAGCCCAGCTGTTTTTTTCATTTGTTTGTTTGGTTTTTTTTTAATTTATTGTAGAGATAAGGTCTTGCCATGTTGCCCAGGCTGGTCTCGAACCTGTGGGCTCAGGCAATCCTCTTGCCTCCGCCTCCCAAAGTGTTAGGATTACAGGTATGAGCCACTGCACCCAGCCTGGCAGACCTTTTAAATTCAGCCCTGTGTCCACTCTGCCCCTTCTCCTCTGTATCCAGGTGATCAGTGGAACCCACCTTTGGATGCTGCAGCATAAAGTTCACAGCTTCTTCAAAGTACTCCAGGTGCATATCATGCAAATATTCAGGGAGATCTTCAAATCTGAAGTAAGCCAGAGCAAGCACAGAAAAACCATGTCCAGCCAGGAGACTGGCCCTGTATTCACAAAGGCCACCGCCACTTCCAAACAGATCGATGATCCCTGGAAAGGACCCCTCACCTGGAGAATACCACAAATCACAAGAAGCTTTAGACCCTCAAAAGGTCTCTTGGGTTTGAGATTTTGGCAATCAGCAAAGAAGTTTTTGAAGTCAGGGTGGATAGGGGTGGAGAGGTTATCATAGAAAAGATGCTTTTTACTTCTCTTTTTGGGGGAGGGAAAACAAAATGTCTTATTTTATCAAACAATAATACAAATAATTTTCACAAAAAATATTTATATTATTATATGATTAATTATTATATCATATAATTTTCAAAAACAACGATAGTATAAATAAACCAAGTTAGAAATAACATAAGTTGGGCATGGACTCACATCTATAATCCTAACACTTTGGAGAGCCAAGGCAAGAGGATCATTTGAGGCCAGGAGTTCAAGACCAGTCCGGGCAACATAGGGAAATCTTGTCTCTCAAAAAAAAAAAAAATTAGCCAGGTATGGTGGCACATACCTATAGTCCCAGGTACTCGGAAGGCTGAGGTGGGAGGATCACTTGAGCCCAGTAATGGGAGGCTGCAGTGAGCTATGATTGCACCACTACACTCCAGCCTGGGTAACAGAGTAAGACTCTGTCTCAATAAAAGAAAATAAAAGAAAGGAAAATAATAACGTGATGACATGAGCATTTTCTACCACATCTTCTTTCTCATTTTCCTCAAAAACAGTAATTACTTGAGAATGCTTTGAGAGCTGTAAAGTGCTCTACATATACAGGGGAATATCATAATATATTCCTATATTCCCCACCTCCTTAAACTCCCTGCTGTAGCCTTACAGAATGCTATTCCGAACTATGCCATGTTCCCCAAATGTTGGCAGACAATGTTTCCTTTGCCTAGAATACTATTCTCTCTTCCTCTCCATTTTTTTGACCAGTTGACTCCTAGTCTTCAAACCTAATTTTAGATCTCCCCTCTGGACAGCCTTCCCACGTCCCCCAAGGCTGAGCTGAGTTGCATCTCCCTGGCTGGGCCTGTACTTCCATCACATAGCACCTGTCACACTCTACTATAGGTGCAAGAGTGACTGCCTGTATCCTCTGTTAGATGGTAAGCACAGTGAGGCCCATGGCTCTGTTAGCTACTGCATCCCAATACTTTAGTATAGACTTAATACATATTTGTTAAATGATCAAACCCCTCTATGTTATTTACAAAAGCCTTTGAGACACAATACATTTTATATGAGCCACATAGTAGACACTGAAATACTGTACTAATTAACACAACATTGACTTGACAAGAATATCAAATAACTAGACTGGGTGGTAAGGGTGTGTTTGTAGAGACAGGACCTCATTCTATCACCCAGGCTAGCGTGACCTGGTAGAATCATAGCTCACTGCAGACTTGAACGGAAGGAGGATTGCTTGAGACCAGGAGTTCGAGGCTAGCCTGGGCAACATAGTGAGCTATGTATATATATAAAACTGGAGCCAGGCATGGTGGCGCAGGTCTATAATTTCAGCCACTCTGGAGGCTGGGTCATTTGAACCCAGGGTGTCAAGGCTGCAGTAAGCTGCGATCTCTCCACTAAACTCCGGTCTGGGCGACAGAGTGAGATTCAGAATCCACAAGACTTTGGAGCGAAGGAACAAGCTTAAGAAGGTTCCACCATCCCGTGGTTCCCAGGCCTGGCAAGCGGCCTGCGGGGGTCGCAAGGACCTTGCCAGGCCTGGGCCCCACTCCCC